AGATGTGTATAAGAGACAGGAGAGAGAGAGAGAGAGAGAGAGAGAGAGAGAGAGAGAGCAATGACACAATTTTGACTGCATTAAGGCTTGGGAGCTACTTCTGCACTTGCTATGGGACTCAAGGCTTTGACTTGCCTGGGGACCAACGACCGCAACCAGCTTGATGTCGTGGTGCATCCACCTTTCTTTCACAATGTTGGTACCAAAATGGCCTACCGTAGGTAACACAAGATACGACACCCGTGTGATATCATCTTTGAAGGTCCAAAAGTTGTCACACGGGTGTGATACTCTGTAGGGGGTTTGATATCTTGTGTGACCCGTGTGATGAACTGCTCTCAGACGATTCCACCCCGCAGGGGGTGTGATAACAGGGGTGTGCGACAAAAGGGGGTGCGACAATGTCACCCATGGAATGAACTGCGCCTACACGACCCCACCCGCTGGGGGGTGGGTGGTAACAAGGGTGTGTGACAAATATGGGGTGTGAAAATGTCACCCGTGGGAAGAAGTGCGCCCACACAACCCAACCTACAGCGTGTGCGATAACGAGGGGTGTGATAATGATGGGGTTTGAAAACGTTACACCTATCATTACGTTCTCCCACAAGAATTCTGGGTTGCGGGTGGCGTCCTGTGGGCGTCAGCAGCACGGGCGGTGCCAGGCACAGCAGGTGTTGTTGCGGGAGTGTCAGCAGTAGGTTTTGATGCGCGGGCCTCGGCAGCTCGGGCGGTGGCAGGCACACCGGGTGCTGCGGGAGTCTCAGGCGCCACAGAAAAAAATGGCGTAAATGGGCGTGCCGCTCCCGCTAGAGTCTGAGCCGCGATGCTTTGAGAAGTGTTGTGTGCTTCGTTCCATCTCCGCGGTTTTGTTGGTCACCATATCTGGAGTGCAGGGTTGCGGCGTGCGCTATGTGCGTTATCACGGTCTACCACACAACCGGTCGCCCAGGTGGTCTAGTGGGTGGCCTCGCAGCCTGCTAAGGGCCAGGTCATGGGTTCGAGTCCCGGCAGAGAGAGTTTTTTTCTCACTAAATAAATCCTGGTCTAGGATGAAAGCGACGCGCTGCAAAGCTCGTTTGTTAGTTAACCATAATCGACTTCGTACGCCGCGAGGGAAGGGATTGCTGTACCCTTCTCGCGATAAAAATACCTCAGGCATGAACCGCAGGAGGGGGTCCAACCCCCCCCTCCTATGTGACCCCGGTTGGGTCGTCTAGCTAGTAGAAGTGGAGGATAGGGGCCAGAAGGGCAGACGACAGAGTCCAATGATGGGAGAAAAACAAAAACAAAACAAACAAACACCGGTGTGATGGGGAGCTCCGTGATATATGTTTGCGGCTCAACTTAGGGTGTGTACTACCTTCTGGGACCGTATGATAAATTTATGCTTTTAATATTTTTTCCATGGACGCAACAAGTTATCACACGAGTGTGGTTTTCTGTACAATTTCGTTAGGGGTGTGGTATCTTGTAGAGTCCGTCCGGTTAAATTTTCCCACATGACCCCCACTTTTTCTCGCTTGTTTTTGAGAGTTGACACGCGAAAAAAAGTTGAGAAGAACCGCAAGGTCGAGAAGCATCGATATCCGGGGTCAATTTTTTTTTTGGTGAAAGTGGCCGTTTCAGGGCGAAAATTACCCCGAAATTACCCCGAAACGCCGCGTATTGTCCCGAAACGGCACGTATTACCCCGAGTACAGCCCCACAGGTAGGGCCCTGCACCCTTAGCTCGGCAGCGCCGAGTAGAACAACCTTTTTCGCTTGATAGATATATATTCTATCTACATTAAGTTGTGTCCTATATATTCTATCTATCTAGAATACTATATACCATGTCGGTTAAGACCACATGTAAATTTTTTTATATCGAAGTATAAAGGAGCAGGACGCAAATGTAAGGTAGAATATCTATCTACCTATATGGTTACACAGATACAACATCGCGCCGGCTGGTGCTGCCGGTGAAGTGAGGTGGTGCGAGCTTTGCCGCTACGAAACGCTTCAACATCTTATCGGCAGCCTCGTTAGACTTTTTTCTGGCCTCCTTGGCCGCGGCAAGGGCGGCCTGCTCTTTGGCCTTGCGCTCCTCCGCGGTTGTTGCTTGGCCACGAGCCAGCAACACGTTGTCGGCCGTGTCGGTGGGCGAGCGGTGGTTCGTCCACTTCTTGAGGTCTCGGGTTTGCAAGTAGCCCTCAAGCCCGTGGCTGTAGGCATATATGTACAGCCAGGAAACACGGGCCCATTTTCGGCACAGTGACAAAGAGACAGTGCTCAGCGTCATGGGAAGCCTTGCAAGCAGACTCAGGACGGAGTAGTCGCAGACACGGCGCTCGATAGACTTGGTGTAGCCCCAGAAACGCTCGATAGCATTGAGCTCCGGGTGGTACCTGGAAACCCCGCAAGAGCAGAGAAGGAAACTTAGCGCAAGAGTCTGAGCAGCATTATACGATTAGAATCGAACCACATGCGCGTATTGCAGATATCTAGATATTCTACCCATAGACACATCTCCGCCCAAAAAAATTCACTCACTTGGCGAGGAAAATGCATGCGTGCCCAGCAGCTTCGAACAGCTCCTCGACCCGATTCATCTGCTCCTTGAAGGCCTTGACCTCGCTGATGATTCGCTGGCAGCAGCATCTTCTCGATGTTCTGGCTGCATCGCGAGCACCACCTTCCTCGCTGTCTTCGTCCGAATCATCGGAGTCTCCTTCGCCTTCGAGCGCCTGCTGCCGGCTCTCCCCCCCCTTGTTGTACATCGTTGACTTGTCCCGCTTGGCCTTAGCCTCGTCTTTGCACCTTAAAAAGAAACAGAGGACAGAGACATGCAAAAAAGAGGCGCCGAAAACGTAAATATAGGTTACCGCGAGTCCAGGTGCATCGCAGCAGAATAGAGCTCAAGGGAAAAAGCAGAACACACCTCGAATAGTTCATCGACTTCAAACGAGGCATGGAGGGCACGCCGGCATTTTAGCCCCTGAAACAGAAACGAAAACCAATGATCCCACCTTTGGCACAGCAGCGGTGGCGCTTTCGTTTCGCTGGCTAGCTTGTACAGCCCCATGTCCTCCAGAATCTCCTTCATCCCCTTGGCGACACCAATCAGCTTCTCCGAGCTGGTCCCCCGTTTGACAACCGTTCCTATCGGGAACACTCCCAACCTTTTCCCGTGTCGTTTCTTGGCTACATACGTTTGACGGAGACAAGAGCAGGAAGGGGAAAAGGCGATATTTGTTTCGTACCCATAGCCACTATCTACGAAACTGGATGGGATGGGAAAGCTCAAGTATCACGTGGTGTATTTTTTTTAAGCCTCGCACAAAAAAAGTTCCTAAAATCACGTCAACTCTCTACAGCAGTGCAGTAGATAGATATATGTCTACATAGAAAAAAGTCCCTAAATCAACGATGGAGCTCACCCACGGCCTCCGCCTCCGTCTTTCGAGCGAAGGGGCTGGATCTGAAGCACAGCACGTCGCCCTCCCGAAACGTCGTGTAGATCGTTCTGCCGTTGTACTCGAAGTTGCGGGGGGGGATCTGCTCGCCCCCTGGTGAGGCTCGGATGTTCTGCGCCCTCAAGGCGTCGGGGCTGTATGCGTTGTGCCCGGTGGAGTTGTCAAAGACTGCGAGCATCTGTCGGCCTGGTTCCCTCGAGATCTCGAACGCCGCGAATATGGCCTGTCGATGAAAGCGTGAGCGCGATGGAAATGTGTATTGGCGAGACGCGTGGCTCAGAGTTTCGTTTGGAAACAGAATGTAGAAGCCAGGTCGTGGGAAGAAAATCTGAGGGCCATGAACCCACCTCGAAACACAATGTTGCTCTGTAGATATCTAAAGGTTGACTTTCCTCACCTCAAGCTGCACGCACAAGCGGTTGCTATCCCAGTATCCGTCGAGGTTCTTGCCGACCCGGAGGATGATCCTGGCCGAGCGCGCAAGGTTGTACTCGGGCCCAGATTCCTTGCAGTCGATGTTCAGCTCCGAAAGAACGCGCTCGAGCGAGTGAACAGCATCAGACACCTTCTTCGTCTTCATGCCGTCGGGGTACTCTTCGCACGGCTTGCAACGCCCGACGTAGGTGTCGCTGCGGGAGAGCGTAGCTCCTTCATCCGTAATCTCCATCTGTGGGATAGGAGCAGGCATCCACAAACAAAAAACACAGAGTGGACAAGAGTCAGCATGTTCAGTATTTCGCTCGAGGGAGCATTGAAAACATTTAGTAAATTTTCATCGACGGGAACAGGGGCACACTCCACATTCCACGTCAGCCCTCCAGATACAACCTATATTTACGATACTCCTATACAACATACCTTCGGCATTGTCCCGTGTTCCTGCATGATCGCGTACACCTCAGCGGGGATGTCCAGCTGCCCGCGTTCCTCGCCGATCAAGTCCGACACCATGACAGCGGCGCCCTCGTTTTTCGGGCTCATCGCTGCGCCCTTTTCATCGTTCTCCCACGCTGCCCCGCCGCTGTCGTTCTGCTTGTAGGCGCACTCGTCGTGGTACACCACCTCCATCACCTCCCTCGGTTCCAGCAAGCGAAACCCGGGCGGCAGCGGTTGGGCTGGAACACGCTGCCGCTCCGTGCACCACAGCTCGAGTCTCTCGTCGACCGGAAGCTCTTCGAGCTTTCCGCTCGTCCTGAGGTTATGCTGCTTCTCCCAGCCGCACTCGCCTTCGAGCTGAACGTGCATCCATGTGCTCCCTTCCCCCAGAGGATCGCCCCCCGCACTCTCGGACACCGCAGGCCAAAGAGCAACCTCCTCGGCTTCCGGGCCCTCACCGATCTTTGCGAGCCTGCAGGTCAAGGTGGCGGGACGAGAGATTAAACAAGAGGTCCCTGCGCAAGGTTGTATGTTCGCGTAAATGCTCAAACTTGAACGACATCTAAACTTGAAAAAAAAGTAAGTTGTCGGTTCCACGGTGGAAACCTTACACGAAATCGGAAACATTGCAGACCCAATCACACCACAAATTCAATACGCACTTGACTGTACGCTTCTGGTGCTCCTGCATCTCCGTCACGTAACCCGTCCTCCTCCTGATGTTGTCGGGGCGGTTGTGACCGTCTGCGTAGACACAGTTTCGGTGTCGCCGCCAACGGAAGCCCAAGTCCTGCAGCCATCTGTGCACCGTGTCGAGGGAGATTCCCCGCGCACCCTCTTCCATGTAAGGCTTGAGCGCGGTGTCGTTGAGATGCCTGCGATTTTGATCAAAAATAATGGTGCAACATGAGTTGCTGTGCAACAATCGACACACGGTTTTTCTGCATATCTTTCAACGACCTGGGATGTAAACATCTATTGCATATCGTGGGAATGTTTCGACACCAGCATGCATCGCTAATCGCCAACCGACAAACTCTGAAATAGAATCCTAACCATGACGTTGTTTACATTCCATACTCACTTCTGGAAGTCCCGAACACGTAGCTGCGGCTCCCCCTCCTTGCGGCCGTATATCTTGGCGTCCAGCCACTCGCGCGACTCTTCGCGAAAGTCCTCGTCGTTGAAAATAATGAGAGCAGGTTGCGAGCAGCGTAGTCCCGCACGCGAACCTTGAACCTCTTGCCGTTGACAAAATCACGCACCCACGCCCGAACCACTTTACCGGTCACGCCGACCGGAAGCGCCGCAACCTCGCTGTGCTTGATGGGGTGAAGTCCATCAGCAATCCTGGTCCGCCAAACGCAAACACATTTGGCAAGATAGTCGTGACTAATTCAGGGGATGCGTATTCGACAACGTGGAATTTAGCGGGTTGTAAACTGTTTGCGTACCCACTGCTGTAGCACGCATCCATCACACACGCGAAAAACATAACTTACTCTAGCGACACGAAGGTCAAGATGGCGGACGCCTGTCTCATGGCGTACCCCTTCTTGTTGTCGGTTGCTAGCGCCTCGTCCGGGTTCTCCACGATGTTTTCCAGCCGGAAGTGCCGGACCGCCTGATCAAATCAGTACAGGGAGGGGGCTGTCACGTCAAGGCGAATATTTACCGACAGAACTTTACGTGACGCACAGCAGCAGCAGCCCCACCAATTTGAACATGTACGTGAATTTTCAAATTAAAAAACGCAACCACCCATGTTTTTATCTAGGCATATCTTCATGGGGCTGTGATCACATGAAAGCACGCACCACCTGCTGTCACTACACACAAAACGACACAAAACAGGCCCCTGCCTTCACACACACACTCACACACGAGAGAGTCGGCAAAGCTGGGGATATTTTTTCACCCTTGCCACAAATGAAAGCAGATGCGGCAACATCACAGCTGCAAAGTCCACACAGCAGTAGTCATGAACACCATTGTTGTGTCTACTCCTAACGCTGCTCACCGGAAAAAGAATACCCTTCGCCTGTTCGAAGATCTCTAGCCGCTCTTGCTGCACCTTCAAACGCGCCGCTTCCCGCACTGCGCGCCGTCTCCCGGATTTCTTCGACCTCCTCTCCCGCCTTCGTTGCTCCTTGCGAGACACTCTCCTGCGCTTGGGGTTACATTGCTTCTCCTTCTTTCCTCTTCCTGGGCCAGCTGGCAAGCCCTTTGGTTGCGGTTTCCGCGCCCGCGCTGCGGCAGTAGCCGCCGGCTGGATGCGGCATGATTTCCGCTGTGCGGCGGAATCTCGATCTGCGCACCGATCGGGATTCTGCAACGCTCCCTGCGACGGCTGCTTCGGCGTCTGCTCCAACGTCTGCTCCACGTCGCTCCACTCCATGTTAGACTCTTCTGACGACGTGCAGTCAGCCGAGTCGCCAGCGTATCCCCCAAAGATGAGCCCCTCAGACGCGGAACTGCACGCGTCCAGACACACATCCACCTGCTCCATGGCATCTTGTCCAAACCAATTGCAGAGCTCGTCACCGTCGTCTCCACCTCCCTCAACCTCGAACACAACCGCCCCGTCCTCAAACTGTCCCGCCTTGCTTTCGGTCTCTGTAGAGGTGGGGGCGAAAGTGCTGCCGGGCGGAGGCGGTGGAGTCGGCGCCCACATTTGAAAAAGAGTACGAAAGCCCCTCTTTCCTTCTTTTTCTCGCTGCTGTTGCCGGCGGCGCCTGCGCTGTCGTTTGCTCGTGCCATCACGCTTGACACGGCCCGAGCTCCCCGAGCTGCAGCTGCCATAGTGACTACTGCTGTCGCTGCTGTGTTGGCTGCTGCTGTGGTCCTCCTCGTCTCCTTCATAACATGTGTCGTGGTGGTCATGTGGCGGTGAAGTGTCCGCAGCGGGGGATGGTGACGCGGCCGCTTTCGCGCCGAACCGACCACCTGTTCTTGTTTGGCAGCTGCCACGCTTCTTGTTTCGTTTACCGGGGGGACGCCCAACCATGTATGGGCTTGGATGGGCCCTCAGTGGGGTCTATGTGACTGCTGTAGCGTGTGTTGTGTGGTGTGTGTGGCGGCACCAAACTTTGATGGGCCATAACTCTTTCAGAAAATTTTTGTTCGCAGAAAAAAAAAAAACGGTCCTGGGTGCAGATCCAATTCGCCCGAATCCGTCGAGTTTTTCGAAATCTATCGGTTGGTTTCACCATTAAAAACATAACTCTGGGACCAGCTGGAATGAGTCTTTTTGCCCATTTCTCCGTTGTATCTCAGCGAATACAAAGTTGAGTTGGGTCGCCGCGTAGCCCTCGGCGTGATACGCTCAAAACCGGTCTTAATAAAAAAAGTAGACATCACACACGCCCTAGTAAAACATAACAAAATCTGGCAAAATCTCGACGGAATCGCGATTTTCTCGCCAACCAAAAAAAAAAAAAATCTGCTCCGATCAAACAATCCGCCTGAAATAGAGCTTTTTCACGATACAAGGTATGTTTTTAGGGGGTACGTCAGTCGCTCGCAATATATTCCCGAGTGATTCTAGGCAATCGTGGGAAAATTTAACCGGACGGACTACATACACCTACGCACAGTTTCAAACCTTCAAGCACTCGATGGGAAGTTTTCATATGAAAGACCAAACCAGGAAGCGAAGGATGCCGCATATGAACCACAACGCTAGCCAACATGTTTGGATGTGTTTTCGAGGATGTATCAATAAATATTGTCATCACAGGAGGGGCCCGTTTTTCTGCACAACAGCACAGCGAGACACAAAACAAGTTCGACCTTATCCGAAGAAAAGAGTCCAAATGCATTCGCGATGGACTCATTGTTGTGTAAATGGGACCTACCTGTGTTCCTCGTGACTGCGATCGTCGAGCAGCCATAGAGGATATCCCACGTGTTTGCAACAGGCAGTCTCAGGAAGCGAGTTGGTCATCATCTTGTATTGTGTATCAGGCTGTGTGTAGCGGAAGCGAAAGAGGATGGCCGGAAGATGGAATGACCGGGTGTGTGCTGTGTGGGAACAGTTGCACTGTTGTTTGTAGAGATGCTGCTGTGGAGATGGACTTATTTATGTACTAGCTGATACAGGTCAAGAGTATTCTCTAGCCACATGCGTTACCTCGCCGAATGTGTACAAATTTGCCCGAGGATTAGTGCCCAAGCGACACCCCGAGCTTGTGACGGCTGCCGCTGCATCTTGTAGCTGTTGGTGTCATCGTTGTTATGGCAACAAAACCAGTTCAGAGATCTTTCTTATACCGTAGGAAACATGATTCAAATTTCGTCTGCGCAGAAAGAGGTGGAGAGATGGCACCGGTCGGAGAGATGGCACGGGCACGTGTGCATACAACACCGCCGTAGTACCATTAGCGCCGCCGAGTGGATTTACTTGGAAATCGTACCCATGGGAGATCGCACCGGGGTGCCATGAAAACCAAAACGAAACGATTTAATCGCATTTCCGTACCGGGTTCGGAGGGATGACGCCGGTCGGAGAAATTGCACCGGGGTGCGAACCCCCCCCCGAAGAAAACACTAAACAAAATAAAAATCGGTCTAACCCGGTGCCATCTCTCCGCCTCTTACGGTAGGCGACCAAAGCTGCTGGGGTACCGCGAAGTTTCATCGCACTCGGCATATCGGAGGAAAACAAGGGGAAGAGGGGCGCCACCCTCCCCCTTCTGTGCCCTTTAGCATGGCGCTTGAGCCGGAAGCTATGTAACTGATAGACATCCTCATCCCGAAAAATATCTCAACTACTCTCGCGTCATGGATACATGGCGCGGCTGGCCGATGTCAAGATGGAGACACCAATGTTCGGTCTTCAAAACACTCGTTGGCGAAGGCGGCTCTTACAGACCCACGCACGTGCAGTGCTCTACTAACCAGTTTCTGCCTCCGAGCCTTGGACCGGAGAAGTTCGCCCTGCTCCGAGCCGCGGTGCACCGTGTAGGGGGGGGGAGGGAGGGGGAGCGGTAGGGCCGTCCTTTGTAAATTGATGTTTTTCAACGCATCGAACCACCGTAGAGAGGAAGCCTTCTTCACCCAGCTGCAAAACAAGCCGTTCGATCGCACCAAAATGTCTCTCCGCGTTTATTTCGTTTGTTTCGCGACAAGAAAGCTTCAGAAAGGATCGAGCGAATAGTTTCAACGAAGAAATGCGATACATGTATTCGGCACCGGTGCATTGGTGCATATGCTGTGGCTCGAAGATGTCCTCTTTCTGCTGGTAGACGCTGGTGCGTCAAGCTTACACCGAAAGGTGAAGGCTGCATCCAGAATAGATGGGACGGAAAAACTCACACGCAGTCTCTAGCAGATGTTGCTTAAAACAGAATGTGGAACGAACGTTGATGTTGCTTCATGCCGAAAGTGTAGGAAAACACAGACTAGCCAACCTTGGTCTGCAGCCGTTCGATCGCCAGCGGCATTCGCTGGATGGGATTTCCTCGGAGACCGACGTGTTCCAGCTCCTCCAGTAAGCTTGCCTGAGCACGAGGATGAAGATGCGCATTCAGGAATCAAACAGCAGAAAATGCTTCACGTTGAACAACCATCAGACATCAAATTCTTCTGTTCAGGATCGACATTGATGACACGGAAACTTCAGGCAATTACATCGAAGTGATCACACGTTTCGCAAGATAACCATTGGTGTAGACCTCAATTCTCTGTGTAAACGGTACGCTATGTTGTGGTGTCGGAAGTAAGGACTTCTTGTCATAAATGACCTACACCACTAGTTTCGTGGAAGAATGGAAAACAACCTGACACGAAAATGTCGGCAAGCTAGCGAACTAGCTCGAAACAGTCCTGGAATTGCAGCCTGACTGACCAGCAGCAATGGCCGTGCCGAAAAATTTCACTCCCGCAATATACCCACAGATAGACTGAGTCTACAGCAGTACTACGTCTGCCATGTCTATCTTTGCGCCGTCACCAACAGTAATTGTGACTATTTAGCGGCAGGCGCGTTGAGATGTCTGCTGAAACAGTACCAACTGACGAGCTGGCGGTGACATAACGAATAACCCCTTCGCCATAAAATCAACGAACATAGAACGGCATTTCAAAAACCTCCTATGTTTGGCCACCTACTGTACCTCGGCTGGAATTTCTTCGAGACGGTTATTCGCCAGATCCAAACGCCGAAGTTTCTTCAACCCCCCAATTTCTTTTGGGAGACTTTCCTGCAGATCGTTCAACGTGCGAAGCATCCCGATACGTCGTCGCAACGATCACTTCAGGTGACATGACCCCGGAATTCATTCATGTTTTCGACGACACGTAACTAGAAGACATATAGAAGTGGGTGAAAGACATATACAAATGTAGATGAATATCAGAGTTTGTTCCTATTACAAATCAAGCCCATACCCTTCTTCAATCCGTCCTGAGCTCACATTTTGAAGCAAGGTGCCGGAAGTTTTCACACAAATCGATAGGACGTGGGATAACTTTGATTCTCCAAGTTGCTCAACAGTAGGGCCGAATCTAGAGCATTGTCTCTATACCGCATGCGTTACATTCACCAGCATATTCTGCGCGAGATCCAGCGTTTCGAGGACCGGTAGGAGACACAGACCGTTCGGAATGTCTTGCAAACAGTTTCCCTGAAGATTGAGTTTTCGGAGTCCGATCGCCAATCCGATGGTTCCTGGAAGATAAGAGATACAGTTCTATGGATGTCCACATTGGAGCAGAAGACAACAGCGACAGGCATTCGGTGGCAATTGTGTCGGTCTCTCATACATGCAGGTTGCGTCTATCTGCGAATGATATACGCTACCGACCGTGGCGTGACGCTGGGCAATTTGTAATGGTCACAGACGCCATGGCTCACTCAATATTTCATGCGAGAGAAGGTATATGGGTTTCTCTCACCTTGCTTGCGTCGACTTCCTCCAGCTGAGTCATGCACAAAAATAACTCGCTCGGCAAAATCTGCAATGCGTTGTGCTTCAAATCCAGAACAGTGATGTGAGTCACTCGATTGCTGGCCGTGAGGTCCCGAGGCAATGCATCGAATCCTAGTCTTGCCAAGGAGAGTCTGGAACTCTCTGCAGCGAGAGCGTCTGCCACCCGATTGGATGCCACCTTTCCCGTGACAAAGAGGGGAACGGGTTTCAAAGAGCGTATTCTGCAGCAAAAGTTTTGCATGCAACACTTCATGTACACATCTACAGGACATACTATTATGTGTACGCCGGCGGTACACCTTCGGACAAAGAGTACAGTCGAACGTCCAATAAGGGCACCAATTTTAAGCCGTACAATGACACTGCCCCGGTTAAGGACAATGCCATTTTACAGGCATGGTGCCCCGCAGAATTACACTATAAGAGGGGATTATAGTCAACGGACCCCTCCCTGACCACGCCATTAACAAATAGATGTATGCTGTACAGCACTAGCCAGCAGAGAGGTATGCTGCGGTACCTGCTAGACAGTCACCGACGACCGTAGTGTGCTGGAGGTTGTAAGGAACTGCATAGCGTACTGGCTAAGTTGACGTTGCTGATGATACCCCGAGGTACGACGAGGATGGTGGGGGCAGGCCAGGGTCGTACACTACTTTACTTATTCGGTAATAGAGGTCGAGGTTCTCGCCGACCTAGAGGAGGTTCGTTCCTATTTACGCGAATGGAAATGATGGATAGTACAGCGAAACCCAGCACCTGTTTTCAAGAGTGGTGCCAAGCGGAGAGCAGAGGGGGGAGGAACCTGCAGCCAACTCTTCGCCTAAGTCGTGCTTCATAATCCACCAATCGTCATGTTTGGGGTAGTCTTTGTCTGGACTGCGCCTCGACACAAGAGACTAGCGCACAGGAATAGTTGTAGTGTGCTGTCGATCAGAGTTCTGCAACAACAGGAGCATGTGGGTTCGAGTGCTCCAACATATATCACATCTTGGTTGTAGCATTGCAAGGATTAAACAACAAAATATTGTTTCGATCCTATTTTTCAACCGTTTCTTTCGTGATACGAATACCCGGGCCCGAGGTGCATCCTTTGGCGCGTTAAACGCTTCTATTGACCCCGGGGATGGTGAGT